AGCGAAGCTTTATTGCCAAATTTTAAACATTCAGTCTCATAGATAAACAAAATCATGCCGAGCCTTTTTATACGCCTCCTCCCTTCATCTGAAGCTGTTTTATTGCACAATTTTCAAGCTTTAAATGGTTCTTCGATTTAACACTAAATGCTTAAAGCTCAGCCATTTTTGATAGTAAATCTTAAAAGTTAATTAACTGTTTATTTTGAAGTTTACTTGTGGAGCTAAAGTTTTTGGGCGTTTAATAAAAGTGTTTGGGCGTTTAATAAAAGTGTACTTATTAAAAAACGACCATAAAGCTTGAATCGTTAAAGACAGTATAACTGTTGAATGGCCTGGAACAACTTTTCCACTGTCCGGTCATAAGTCCGGTTTTGCAGCTGTTTTATTGCGAAATTTGAAGAATTTGGAGTCTCATTGGTTAAATAAATTGTGCCGAGCATTTCGAGCACGAAACGTCCGTAAATTTACACATTTATGAAACATTGTGTACGTAAAAAGTGGATACAACTTCCATCGGTTTTTCAAGACATTTAGAATAGTTTGATGAATTTTATTGCTCACTTAAAAGCGAGTTTTAATATGCTTTTCTTCGAAAGTTTTGTAGACTCTGCATAAATAAATCTGATGTGAATCATAAAATCTGAATAAAAAATATGTCAACCAACCTAAAAAAATGCAATCTTTAAAAGGTAGCGCAGCATCCAAAGTAATCACTTGAAAAGGGCCTTGAAGCCATGCAAAGGAAAAAATTCAAAAATCTTTCAAAAGACCTTTACTAAAACAATTGAAGCTTTCTTTCTGATCTGTTGATAATGCGACGCATAAGAAAACTAAGGAAATTAGAAAAATCCTTTTATAATATAGTGCCGTGTTCACATGACGTGCCACTCTTTTCGACATAAGTTTACAAGTAAGTTTACGAGTCTTTAAGCTGTTTTATGGCAAAATCCGATGTATTTAAATTTTAATTTCCCGATTGAAATTTACATACGTAAGTCGACGCCCTTGAAAAAAGAGACCTTTTGTTCTTGAAGCCGTTTTATTGCAAACCTAGGAAAAAATGTGGTTGTTTCGATTTCAAAGAAGCATAACTGTTGACGTCGTTTTTCAGGTTTTATCGCTCACGTGAAATAAGCTGTGTTGTCCTTAAAGTTCTTCAAACACAGCAATCCTTAAGAAAGAGCGCTTGTTCGGAGGAATCGGCATTAGTTTGCCAATAATTTTGAAGGCATTTCTCTAGAAAGCTTGAAGCATTGCAGTTTTAAAGACTCTTTTCTTGTGAAAAAAGTGCGTTTAGCTAAATTTGGCGCATCCGAAATCGAGATCCATCGGTTTCATATCCAGACTCTCAGGAAGCCTTACAATCGCTTACCAATGAACAACACATTTGAATTTTTCAGTTTGGAAACAAAATTTGTAAGTGTTTTAAAGCACGTGGTTTGCGACGGGATGAAAAAACGGGCGGCCGACATTTATTAATTATACCGGAACATAAGAAAATTAATTTCTGTAGTGATTGAGGGACTAGAAGTGAAATGAGCAAGAGGAGGCATCGATTAATTGTTTCCTTCGGCCAACTTGGCTCAATCAAAATGTGCGACACCCGACCCGACCGAAAACTGGAGTTGTGTAGATAATTTTTGGGGCTCCTGAGTAAACAGCGTAAAATTCAAATCAGGCGCAAGCAGCAAAATGGAAATTCAGGGATGTCA